AGACGCGCGCCCATTACATTTTTTGACCCTCAGTGATTCCTGCCAGTCGTACCCCTGCCTCTTTTATTCTTGCCCTTTTTCCTATAAATCCTGTTGGTTCATTAAGTTTGCGGTCCATAAAGTCCTGTTCAGCCGGGTTCAGCAGCCTTTTGAATTGCATTGGTAGATGTATAATATGAACGATCTCAATGTACACTTTACCATTGAGTTATTGCTTGCCACAAGTCTTGTCAGTAGAGCTTTATTATTTCCTTTAAAGCCATCTGAGCCCAAAAACAGTTTGGCTATTGTTCTTCCTGTAGCTTCTATTCAGAAGCACAACAAAGGTTGTTATAGCCTCAGGTGGATGATGCTTAACGCCTGCATACAGAAGGCGCAAGCCTTTTACCATCCCCTGAGCTTAAGGTGTCTTTCATTTCGTCCTGTGAAGTGCTATTCTCCTCCTCTACAGGTCCTTTGTGTCTCAGAGATAGAGCTTTCCTTCGGAGCAATTTTTTTTGTTCGAGGCTTCATCGTGATTCCACGCTCTTCACTTTATCAACATGGTTTGTTCTCGGGGCCCGCCCCCCCCGCCTGTAAACCGAGGCGGCAGCCTCAAGATATTTTATGATGTGAAACAATGAGCTACTGTGCACAGAGATTGTCTCACTCCTGGACTGGACATCCCGTTTTCATCACTTCTTCCTTATATTTCAAGTTAGCATTTAATATATTATTACCGATCACTCTGGGATTTCTATCTGGGGGTTGTTGTTCAAACATCCATATTCAAGATAGCCAGTGAGACGACGCACCCTGGAAAGTGATTTCTCCGCTAACGTCACCTCGATGTCCATATTTTTTTTTCCTGACCCAATGACGCTTTTACATTACGAGTAGTCTTTTTTTTTTTACAAACAAAACAAGACAAAAACAAAACAACAAAAACAGAAAAGCGTTCAGGAGATGTGTTCAGAGAGGGGGAGGGGGGGTTTAAGGATAAGCAGAGTTGAAGAGGTGGGTTTTGAGACGGGACTGGAACAGGGTGAGGGAATCAGACTCACGGAGGTCTTGGAGAATATATATATCATGTATATGCATTTTTTATGTTTACCAGGCCTACATCCCCTACCGAGACAGTAAGATGACCCGTATCCTGCAGGACTCGCTGGGGGGTAACTGTCGAACCACCATCGTCATCTGCTGCTCGCCTTCCTCCTATAACGAGAGCGAAAGCAAATCCACCCTCATGTTCGGACAAAGGTTGGTAGACCTGTGGAACAAAAAAAACCACAGTGCTGTCATTTCTTCAGTGTGAAATATAAATCCATTTAAATTGAAATACAGAAGTTTTCTATTGAAGGTGTAGAAAAGTTATAGAAAGCCTTTTGAGGAGAAGGAATTGTCATTATACAGCAAAGGGTTGCACAACCAAATGCAGCTGTAGCTTAGTCCATCATACATACAAACATGTTCCTAAAGTTCATGTTTTTTATAATCATTTTCACAGTGGGTCGAGTGATGTTGCATTTCAATATCTCATTTTGAAGGTGCATTAAATGTCTCTTTAGTGAAATGTTCTTTCTACATCCAGAGCAAAGACCATCAAGAACACTGTCACTGTAAACGTGGAGCTGACAGCCGAGCAGTGGAAGCAGAAATATGAGAGGGAGAAGGTGAAGAACACGACCCTGAGGAGCACCGTCACCTGGCTGGAGAACGAGCTCAACCGCTGGAGGAATGGTGAGGAAGTTCCCTCCGTCTTCCGCCATCGTTTCATCCAGGCCTCTCCACAGATTCCTCAGAAACAATGCTGTACAACTTCTCACGTTCGATCTAGATCCTTTTGCCATTGTTGTTCTGTGGGTTGCAGATGTTGTTGCTCCAGTTCAGGTTGATAAAGGATTTGTTCCTAGCCTTCTACTATAAGAAACAAATCAGTGCACTTCTTTGTAAGACCTAGATGTTATGATAGATATTTATTTTGTGGCCACATCATTTAAAGGGCTGCTTTTGGTCTACAGTGCATAAAGGACAACTTACACTATGTGCCGATTTGAAAGTCAAAAATAAAGCTTTGAACGCAGTCATATTTAACCTTGTTCTCTCATTTCAGGTGAAAGTGTGCCAGTGGAGGAGCAGTTTGACAAGGAGAAGGCCAACGCCGAGGTGAAGGCTCTGGACAACATAATCACAGAGAAGGAGGTGTCCACGCCCAACGTGCCGGGTGCCCGCCTCACCGACGTGGAGAAGGACAAGTGTCCGGCTGAGGTGGCCAAGCTCTACAAACAGCTGGACGATAAGGTGAGCGACAGCATGTTGGTACCGGAGGTGAATGAATGTGGGTTTGCAGACGTAGAACATAATGTGTACATACAATATGCTAATGTCTTTGTGTCTGTGCTCTCTACAGGACGAGGAGATCAACCAGCAGAGCCAGCTGGCGGAGAAGTTGAAGCAGCAGATGCTGGACCAGGATGAGGTGAGTTCTGCAGCTCAGCAGGTGCAGAGGGAACTCCTGATCTTTAAAGTCCTGCTGTTTTAAGTAGGGCTAAAACCTGTTTTCTTTATTTTAAAGAAAGTTGTAAAACCATTTTGTAAAGATCTCTTAGGCCAGTCTTTATTATATAGATTTTATTATAGAGGGTATGACCGGGGAATCACAGTCCGGATTCAAACCTGCATTCGCTGTAGTGGGGACTTTTAGTTGCAGACTTAATAGCCGCTTTCACACCAAGTACTTTGCCGCACTTAGTTCCCAGCACTTAGTTCTAAAGAGCCGATCGCGTTCACACCGGAATAAGTCCCTGAGGGAAGATTACGCAAATGAAGCCGATGACGTCACTTCTTCTTCTTCTGCTTCACGGCGTATACTGCCACCCGAAGTCCCCGGCCGGAAGTGCCCTGAGTTGGGGACAGGCTTCAGTAGAAGCTGCTGGGACTCCCAGCAGCTTCTACTGAAGCCTTCACCGCTCCCATGTTTTCTTTTGTGTTGCCATAAGTTAGTCTTTCTCCGTTGGTGCGGGGGTCTAATGCTAATAATGCTAATGCCAGCAAATACAATGGCGGCTTCACAAAACTTTTCAGAGTTTTACGGGGCGTGGTTTGCATTTCGTCCAGCCAATCAGAAATGGGAACTTTTTTCTCCCCAGGATAGTCCCACCTCTCTAGCAGGGACTGCAAAGGGGGGAAAAGTTCTCATGAACTAAGTTCTCTTTTTGGTGTGAACGCAAAATCCCAGGAACTATCGGAACTAAACGGGAAAAGTAGTCCGGTGTGAAAGCGCCTATTGTGTTGCTTACATCATCATTTCACTACTACAAGACAGAACTGTAATAAAATCTGTGTCATTTTGAAAAAACATCTGAAATAATCTAAATAAAAATGCAAACAAAGCCCACCAAAGACTAAATCTTGAGGATTTAATAACTTAACTAAATATATATATATTTAATAACTAAAAATGCTAACTCATAAATAATGTAACAAACACAGAATAGTTCCAGCAGACCTAATGCATTTGAAAACAAGAAACAAAACTCCACTTCTCTCTCCTGTTTGCAGCTTCTAGGCTCTTCCCGCCGAGATCACGAGAACCTCCAGGCGGAGCTGAACCGTCTGCAGGCGGAGAACGAGGCGTCGAAGGACGAGGTGAAGGAGGTGCTGCAGGCGCTGGAGGAGCTGGCCGTCAACTACGACCAGAAGAGTCAGGAGGTGGAGGACAGGACCAAGGAGTTTGAGGCCATCAGCGAGGAGCTCAGCCAGAAATCGGTGAGCTGGGGACATCAACATGCCTGAAGTCACTGAGACTCCTTTGCTATGTTAATATTCAAAACATACACCATCATTAAAGGTGTACGGCCTGCAGACACACAGGTTGCATGCACTCATCTGTTGCTGCTACAGCCCCTTTCTTTCACAATTTCACAAGACTTGGTGTTTGAATCATGAGCCTTGGGTTCATTATGGTATGTTTATTTAGGAGGAAAATTAATTGACATCACAAAAAGTTAGGATTGACACAGGACAGCACTGCTCTCTGCTCACACAATGTTTTCTTTTTGTATTGCTTCCCCATTGAAAACATCCGAACGCACTGAGATAATGAATGAACACTCCCTCTCTCCCTGCAGTCCGTCCTGTCGTCTCTGGACTCTGAGCTGCAGAAGCTGAAGGAGATGTCCAACCACCAGAAGAAGAGGGTGACTGAGATGATGTCCTCACTGCTCAAAGACCTCGCCGAGATTGGCATCGCGGTGGGCAGCAATGACATCAAGGTACTGAGAAGCCTTGTGCACACTACCAACAGTAGAAACACTAGCTTCTAGTAATATGGAGAAAGAATAACAAGTTGTTTTATTAGATTCAAATATAGTTGTTTCGCAGGATGTTGCAGTGATTAGAAATAAATGAAGGCTCAGCGACTAACATCAGTGGTCGAAGAAGTAATACCACAGTGTAGAAATACTCTGTTAAAGGTCTCCTATCATGCAAAATGCACTTTTTGATGTATTTTATACATAAAGACGTGTCCCCGGTGTGTCGGGGAACTCACGCAGCGTCAGAAAATAAAACCCTCTCTCTTTTCCTCCGTACCCAAATCTCTAAAAACGGGGCTACAACGGAGCTGATCCAGATTTGCATCTGATATGACGTAATATCTGAAATGTGGACCCACGGCCCTATCAGAAACGTTGCTATCAGAAACAATGCCCGACTGTTTTGGACGTAATATGGTCGGTGTTTACGTTAGCATCGCTAACACTCAGAGCTAACCTGTACTGGAGAGCATGTGTGTGAAGAAGCAGGAAATAAAAAGGAACTCACCTTGTGGTATAACCGGCAAGAGAGAAAGCCTTTGAGCTCCANAGTAGTTTGAACAACTGCAGCCAACCTTTCCCTCCAACTGCTAGACGGGCACCACCAGAAGAGTGGAGGGTACCGACTGACGAACTTTGTGTTCTCGGATCCTTATTCTCTCCTTCCGGTAATCACGACTCGTAGCTAGTGTTTGTGAAGGTTCTATAGGTAAACTCCCTTTCTCTATAATCTCTATAATTTCTCTAAAAGAAAACAACTTTCTTTGTGTAAGTTTCCAGTAAGGGAAGTCACGGTACCTGTACGTCCAGTTCGTCGTAGTTTAACTATACACTTGCCCCGGGACGGGAGGATATGAACTGGAACAACCATTGCTAAGTACAACTGTGTACCGGTTGAGACTAGAAGTACGGACAGGAGACCTGCACATCTTCATCTCACCTAACCTCGGTCCCGCTCAAGCTACCTCGTCTGCCCTCTCCGGCCGGGCGCATCCGGTCTCTCAGAGCCATGTCTCGGCGGTACAGAAGACCCAGCATCAAAGAAGGTTTCATTTATTAGTAGAAGGGGTTTCTTGTGGCCGAATCTAGTTGAACTACTGAAAGGACTATCCGTCCGTCCTTCTACCTCTTCCCACTCGAAGTGTTGTGTGATCATGTCAACTATACCATAAATGCTTCCAGAGTATACATTCTCCAATACACGTCTATTTCTGTTTTGTTTTCCGGATTCAAAACGTAACATAAATCAATAAAATCTAGGTTTCGGAGTAAGTTGAATAATGTCAAGGATTTTCTAGGGTGTTCGTGAGGTGGGACCGAGATGAATACTACGCAAACGACTCGCACGGCGTCGAGATAGTTTATAAACATTTTTATTTCATAAAGGGGAAAAACGTTGAGAAGTACTTCAGTACAGCAACGAAATTCTAATTTCTAGTGTAAACTGTTACCAGAGCATATCATACGTTTTATACACCTTATAGACTTTTTTGACGTAACTTCATACTTGTTTGATTTTGATTTTTGTATGTATCAAAACAGTTTTTGGTACGATTTTTTGTTGCTGATCAGATTTCTTCGATCTTAAAGAAAATGTAAATTAGCGTTTTGGAAAAAATGTCTTGTTTGTTCTCCCAAATAAAATCATACAGTGTTTTGAGTATTTTTTGTAGTTATCATATATATTTATGTTATTTAGCTTGTTTAGATTATGGTATTATAATCCTTTTTTATTTCGTTTAATTTATATTAATGTCACATATATATTTTTTTTGTAAGCATATATACATGTTTTTATTTCATTACAGTTTTTGACACTCCCCTTGTTTAATATACCAGCGTTCAGTTTTTTGTTATGATATATCAGGTTTTTACATTTGTTATATACATTTTTATAGTAAGTATATTCAGTATAAATATAATACTTCTCCGATTACACCTCCGACGGTAGATAGTCAGTCGACATTAGCAATTCCAATCTACAAAAATAAATGACGTTAGTTTCCCTTTGTTTTCTCGGACATTTCGAATATAAATTCATTCTAGAGGCAAAGACTGTCCTGGTAAGAATTTTGAGTATTTTCAGTCTCCTTCGACACCTCGACGACTACTCCTTGAGACTCTTCCTAGCGGCACAGGTCGACCAACGGAACTTACCCAGGGGTATCTCCTTTCCATCGTCCAACTGAAGTAATTTACTTATAAGGGAGGACCGTGAACTTGTCAGCCCCCTTATTCACACCGTCATGGACTTTCCCTTTGTAAAAGGACGTACAGTGTGTACTAGTAACTAAAATCTTCTGTAGGGTGTAATGTAACTCGATAATTGTTAGTGCCCTTAGTCTTTCATCTTAAACACGTTAGCTGGTTTATAGAACCTGTTAATAACTGAGTTTTTAACGAGACTTGGTTTACGTTTGACACTTCGTCCACGTTTCCGTAGTGCAAACATGACTCAAAATCCTTTGCCGGATAATAATTGTAACTGTTTTGGTACTCCTTAGTATAAACTAGCACGAAAATTAGCTGAGTTAGACAGAAAAAGTGATTACAGTGGTACCAACCCTTGGACTGAAGTCCAAGGTCGAACAGTCTAAGCATTTCGCCAAGGGTCGTTCTGCTAACCAGTCGTGTGTCGATTTGGACCTCTTGGGACAGGGAGTCCGTCAATAGGTCGAGGTATACTCTTGCTACTGATGGGTGGGAGAACGTTGAGTCTTTAAATTCTCGGAAGAAGAAGTAATAGGGATTTCTCGTCTTTGCTTCGCATATTTTTGACAAATAGGGGTCGTCCCGGGATACACGTGTTTAGGACATGTGTAGATATATGAAATCTTTCAGAGAGCAGAAGGGCTGCTATTTTTTCCTGCAAAAGGTCAAGGTGTTACAACATTCCTGGCCAACAGCTTCAGACATTTAGATTTAGTTTGTCCGACATTGCCTTCAGAATCAATTTGCCCTGGATCCACACAAATGTAAGAGCTCGTGTTTTATTTGCACTTTAAAATGAGATCAAATATACTTTATTGATCCCAATTTAGGAAATTAAACAGCACAACTCGTTAAGAGAAAGGAACACGTTTATTATTGCAGTGTACTTTTTCTAACCCAAATGTAACACAATGTGTCTGCGGTGGTCTTTAGGGGGGGAGCGCGGCGGCAGGGCCATTGGTGGCAGTGGGACCGCCTTGTGGGTCACATAGACTTTTCTGAAACACATTAACGATGCAAGATTTAGCTTTTTTTATTTTCTCCGTCTCATACAGATAAAAATTAACACTTAATCCTCCCAAATTCTCCCTAAGCTCTGTGAGTGATGAACTCAGGGTTCCCACAGCCAGAGGGAACCGTTTCACCGGACTTTAACCCTCACCTTAAAGAGGTCGTCTCAGCGCTGGTCCCCTTCAGCGGGTGGTAGGGCCCTTTTTGTTTGGAGTTGGTGACAAAAGACTTGTGGGAGATTGGGGGGAGGAACATCTCCTGATATTCGGTCTTGGGCTGCTTCCTGGACAACAAGGCAAGGCAACGAAAACATTGTGTTGACACAAACTGGTTAAAACCCAGTATAAAAAAAAAATACAAAAGACAGTATAAAAAGGTTTGAATACATAAGAAAAATAAAATGGAAGATAAATATATAAAACTAACAACAACTGTCACAAGTAGTCTTCAAAGGTTGTTGAACATGTTACTTCTCTTGAAGATGTGGTCCCTGACCTTTTCACAAAGATAATGTATATACCTGTGTGGCTTTATAAGCTAATATAACAACATAAAAGCCCTAATATAAGTGCAATTATATATATTTTTTAAAGATACTGGGATATTTGCCAAAGCTGGAAACTAAGCATGGAATTTAGGCTACCAGGTTGTTGCAATATGCGTTTGACAGTGGGACGTTATTTGTTGATGCACCGTTGGCCCTGGGGACAACAATAGTGGGTGCACCAGGACTACATTTCTTCATGAAAGCCCTACTAGAATTGCAATATCTAAAAGCTTCTAAATGAAGGACCTCACCCCCCAGATGTGGCCGGTTGGTTTCCCCGTTGCCTCATCATGGTCTTACTTGTGAGCGGTGGAAGATGGGCTGTGTTGAGAGGAAGCCTCAGAGATCTGAAGAGGAGGTTATTGATGCCGTTGTCATGGCTGCAGAGTTATGGCGATGATGCGTTTTGGTGGTTAGGATTCTAATGTCAAAGGAGCCACTTTTGAATATATACAAAGTGTTCCATCACAGTTTAATGCTGAATGAAATCCAACCATTTAACTAAGGAACTTTATACAGCGATCCAACCAAGTCGTATTGTTAGTTTTATAGTGATTTTTCTGTTTTTTTAACAGTATTTCTTCACTGCAATTGTTTCAAAATCGTATTCTTTCCCTGCAATTTCAACAATATATTTACAGCAGTGTTTGTTACAATTTAGATATGTTTTCAATATTATCACAGTATTTGATCTTTCTTCTTTTTTTGTTTTTTTGTTTATAGTAATATATGAATTTTTCATACATTTAAAAAAAATCTTTCCAACAAAATCTGGACAGTATTATTTGAAAACCTTTTCCACTTCATTGACAGGATTATTGGAATTTTAATTTTTTAATTGTTGCATTTGTTCCTAAAGTGGCAGAAGGTAGAAATGTAAGGACTGTAAATGTTTTTGCTGATCTCTCTTTGCTGTTGTTTTTCTTCTGCCGTGCTGTGAAGTACGTACCCCCCATATGATTTGTCATATCACCATGACATCTTCACCTGCCTTTTAGCTGCATTTATCCTTCTTAGTGTAAAATTAATAGGTTATGACCCTGCAACATGGCTTCCTCTGTGTCTCCCTCGTGTCCTTTTTATAGAACTCTGTACTTTTTATAGAACTCTGTACTTTAACCTTAATGCTTCGCTTTGACCTGTAATTACGGTATTGTGCTAACATGCATCGTCGTTATTCCATGCACAA